ATCGCCACTACAATCAGCAAGACTGAACTTGGAAAACAAGTCAGCCTCAGTTTCCTTTCTGTTTCTGGTGCAAAACAAAGCCTGACCATAGCATTCTTTTTTTTTTTTTTTTTTTTTTTTTTTTTGCATTGATCTGAGCAGATGGCTCTGAAACAGCTTTAGACATTATGGTCTTTCTCAGTTGGATCCAAATCCCAGCTCTACCTGCATGTTTGCATCAAGACAGAAGAAGATGAGAAGTCTCCAATGAAGTGGCCTCTGAATGCCAGCCCACTTTAGGACTCTCAGGAGCTCCCATTCTCCTGGCCATCTCTGGGTATCTCCCCAGGTGGTCTGCAAGGCAGGCTATTTTCAGAGGTTTGCCCTGTGACAACACCTCTGCTTGGGTTCTGGCCGAAATTAATATCTTTTATGGGTGCCTCATCAAAACCAGACATTCTTCCTGTTGAAAAATAATGTGTGCTAATGAAGTTTGGGGAATTCAAGGCTTTTTTTTTTTTTTTTTTTTTTTTGAGTGGCAACCAGAAGCAGATGGAGAAGGTGGCTCTTAGGCATCTGTTGGCTTAAAATATCTGAGGGTCCTTTTTCATAAGGGGCTAAAATAATGACCATAAAAGGCTACAAGTTCACAAAGTCCCAACCTTCATATTCCCCACTTAGTACCTACCCATGTTCCCCCTCTCCAACAGAAAGAGCTAAAAGGAGATTAGAACCAGGAATGCGGCTCTCTCCCACCCCCCTCTTCTCTGATATCTAAACTGAGTGCCACAGCAAGAGTGAGGTCTGGCTTGTAAGTGGCCACAATTGCATAACTTTCACAGGCACTGAAACCACTTTAGATTACAATACAGTGTATCCAGATCATAGGATGTATAAAGAGATGAAGATTTGAAATCCATCTACACACATGACCTGCTGTTTGACCTTGGCTAAGTTAAGTGTGTATTTACTTCTCCCAGAATTGTGTCCTTAATAACAAAACATAGGTATAGACACATACCTCCAAGCAAGAGAAACTCCTTACAAAAGAAAAAGTTTCAATACAATTACGTATGTTCACAGTTATAAGCATGACGAAATAGTTTGCCGGTCTCATTCTTTTTAAACAAATAGTTACTTGAGGAAAGCCCTGTTGGTTTATATAGAATAATTAAATAATAATAACAGTTATTCTTTTCTAAGCAGGCAGTTATAATAATAGATACATATGTGCATAATCAAGTCTGGCAGAAGGTGGCAGACATTCCCAGTTAAGTGCATACAAACCAGGGTTTTGATAACTTAATAAAAGAGTAAGTTGTTTAAAGTGTTGATAGAGATTTGGGGGAGGGTGGTTTACCTGAACTAGAATACCAAGTAAGATTAGAATTTGTATTAAAAGCATTAGGTGTCCTGGGTATGCAGAAATCAACCAGAATATGTCATGGAACTGGCTTCTACACAGATCTTTACCAAATCCATATTCATGTCACCTGCATGGGTTTACCTCACTAAATGGCCCTTATCTTGCTTGTACATGTAAGAAATGAGGGTTACTCACACATCTAGGCTCAGACAATGTAGCTGCTAAATTAAATAATGTGTAATACCCATTTACACATCATACAAGTCTATCAATGCTTTTAAATTCTATTTGTCCAGATGTGACTGCTTGGTTGTGGGGCCACCCGCCGGGTCCTCTTTGTGATCTGATCAGTCCAGGCGGCTCCTGTTTCTGCCTCTAACACCCTGTTGGGCAGTAATAAGATGTTAAAGGCACCAACAGAGAGAAGCCAGGCTGTCAGCTTCAGAGGGGAAAGGGGTGAAGGGTACAAGGAGGAGGAATAAGAAAGGGAGTTGAGGGGAGATCAAAGACAAGCAGGAAGAAAGCCAAACTGCGAAGAGAGGAGATGTGGTTCCAGGAGCTTGGGACCCTAAGGAAGACCCCAAAGCAATGAGATTCAAATTGTACCATCCAGTCACCCGAGCTATTGAATTATTAAATGTCCCACGTGGAAAAGCCAGTATAATGAAAAATGGTCCATCCTCAGGGTAGGCAGAGTCCTACAGAGGTGTTGCATGAAACCTGAGCTTGTTTCTCCCCCGCATATTAACCCACCACCACTTTATTCCCCAACGCTAGAGGAAACCTTTGTGTGACTGGGTTTCTGTAGGGGGCGACCGTGTGGTTGGCTTTTTTTTTTTTTTTTTTTTTTTTTTTTTTTTTTTTTTTTTAGGGAACGGAGAGAGAGACTCGGAGGCACACAGAGAAAATGCTAATGTCGTTCAGCTCCGTTTCATTGTCAGGAGGGACACAAGAGGATAAAAACCTAGCTCTCCAAACCATTCTCGCGGCTCCCCTCCTCCCCACACCACCATCCATCCCTTTAGCTGGATGTGTCTCTGCGCTTTGTTCTAATTTATCCCATGCATAATTTATTTACGTGTGTATTGTTTCCTGATCAGCAACTTTTAAAAACAAATGAAATGTATAAGACGTCTTGCTAAATAAGTTGTTTTCAAAAAATAAAGGCAGATGGTGTGGGTCTCCCAGTAACAACGTGTGTGCTCCTGCATTAGGAGTTTAAAAGCCGTCCGGAGCGCAGGAGGTTCGGCTCGTCGGGGAGAGGGGGTGGGTATTGTTTACACCCCCTTTCCTCCAGGGAAAGGGTTTGGGATGCAAAAAGGAGGAGCTAATTAAAAAATGACCACTCAACTCCCGTCTAGAAAAGGCAGGCAGGGATGTTGTGTGTATGCTAGCGCGTGCGCGCGCGCGTGTGTGTGGCGACACAGAATTACAAAACATCTCATTGCAACTGTCTCTAATTATTACAAAGTATAAGTTTAATAATTCAGGACTAATTCCACTAAACCAGCCCCCTTCTCTGTTCCCTCCTCCACCTCTAACCCCACCCCACTCAGACACCCTCGCCAAACACGCACCCTTCCGCAGTTCAAAAACAAACAAACAAACAAAAAACCGGAGCGAGCAGGGAAACAAACCCTGGAGCGTTTAGAGATATTGCGCCTGCCCGCGCGTGAGCGGGCTCCAGGGTAACGCTGGTACCGCTTTCCCAGTAGGAAACAAATCTGGCGCACATGTGAAATAGATTTCTCTAACTTGAGTTTACCAGGTGGCATCAGCCTGCCTATGTGATTTCGGCTGGAAATGGGGAAACTGCAAATCAGCTGGAGGTTCGGCTGAAACTCACAGCATCAGCGGTGTGGCTGCGCGAGCGACCGGGGAGCGGGGATGCGGCGAAGTTACGCCCATTTATTCTGCTGTAAAACATTTTCTTTCTTGGCTGAAACGTTGTGGCGTTCCAGTGCGGTGTTATCCGAGCTTGCGAGCGAGAACTAAAGCCGGGGGCTGTTCTGTGATCGGCGTCAGCTTCCAGCTTCCTCTTAATCGCAGCTTTAATACATGTATATTTAAAAAAAAAAAAAAAACTCCGAACCGGGGACCTTACTACCTTTTCCCCTATTAATGATGGGAGATAAGCTGGTGCAAACACGTCCGATTACCCTCACGCGTTCCTTTGCGCTAGGAAATACACACACACCCCCCGCAGCCTCCCTCCCTCCCCGGTGCGAACGTGGTTTTCAACTCCAGGAGGAGCCTGGGGTGCCAGCGCGGTGCGCTGAGTTGAAAGAACCCGCACCGGCATCGGCCACACAACCAGGAGAATTTTGCACGAAACGCCCCCCTCCCCTCGCCCGCGGCTCCCACACCGGCTGGGAAGTCCTGGTCCCAGAGGCGCGGACCCCGACCCACGTCGCGCGGCGATGGGGGAGCGAGCTCTCCTCTGCCAATATCATTGCCAATAGCACCCCTTGTAGGGCGACGCTAGTTTTCCGAAGCCTCCAGCGGCTCCGCGATCGCGATCGGACTTGGCGGCTTAACATTTCCATCGACTGGAAGGAAGGAAGGAAGGAAGGAAGGAAGGAAGGAAGGAAGGAAGGAAGGAAGGAAGGAAGGAAGGAAGGAAGCCAGGACGAAAAGGAGGAGGAAGGCAGGCAGGCAGGAATTGGCAGTCGGACCCGGGGACTGGTCCCCGCATGTCCTCGCCCAGCCCGCCCCCCTGCGTCCGGGATCTGGGCGTCCGCTCAAAGTCTCCCGGCGGCGGCCAGAGGCACCTGCCCCTCGCTCTGGCCGGGAGCAGAAGCTGCCGCTCCGCCCGCCTCGGTTTTTCACCCAGAGGAGGCATGAACACCATTCATAAGACCTGCAGCTTCCCTGCCTCCCAATCAACCCCAAGTTAACCCGAGTCGTTAATACACTACACCCAGTTCGCCCACAAACACACACAGACACACCGGCGACCGCCCGGAGCGCGGTCACGCTCGGGGGGGCTGCCCCGGCAGGAAAGCCCCCGGGCAATCACCTGGGCCCCAGGGCTCCCGGGACCCACTGCTCCCCCTGCGGTCCTCCCAACTCCGGAAGGTTTGCACAAACTCCCCGCGAGCGATCGGAAGGCGTAAAGCGCCCTGCAAACTCCGGAGCTGCCACGGTCCGCTCGCCCCGGCGGACCCAGCAGCCGGGCAGGGGCTGCGGACTCCGGAGGCGCGGGGCTCAGCCAAGTGCACCCAGGCGGCCCCTGCCCGGCGCTCGCCCCCAGCTCCGCCGCCCCCCGCGCCGCGCTCGCCATCCCGCGACGCCGGGCACTCGGGGGACCGTGCAGTCCCCGAGCTGCCCACGACCGCCCGCCACCCCCCCCCCCCCGTAGAGCGCTCGAGCGCCTGGCTCCCCTGCCGAAAACCCCTCTCCGTGCGTCTTCCAATTAAGCAGAACACAAACGTAACAATTTTCTTCTTGTTAATTGCATCTCTTGACATTTCTGCGCGTTGGGGGTAAAAAAAAAAAAGAAGATGAAGAAGTAAGAGCTGAAAGAAAAGAGAAGCCCCGCCGCGGCTGCAGGCGCCTGCAAGCGCAGTGCATTGGCAGCGCTTGGCACGCGGAAGGCGCCTTTTTTTTCATATTGAAACCAGGCGGAATATGTACATTTTTTAGTCTTACTTACGCTTTCAGGGGGTTGTGAATGACAGTCGCCATTTTGCTACAATGTAACAGAATATTGTCTGTCTCAGAGTTCTAAAGGTTCGCTCAGGGGAAGCGGCGAGCCAATCAGTGCACGGGATACCGGCCCGCTGGCCAATGGGCGCTGCTGGTCGCCAGATGGGCGGGGCCTGCACGGTGGTAGTTATTAGGGGAGCTGTCAAAGCCCAGAGGTCACTCCCTTTTGTAGAGCCCGAGAGCAAGCAGGTCTTAAAGGGGCAGTACCGCGAGAGCAGCTCCTTTTCGGATTTGGGAAAGTGGAGACGCACGGGGAAAGTATTCTAGTTTGGTTTGAGTCCCTACTTTCTAAATAATTGCAGAGAGTTTGCGCTCCTGGACAGAAATATTTAAGTATTGCCAACAAACCACTGAACCCCATTCATTAGCTTTTGGCTTTGCTGTTACGTTTTTAATCCCCCAAAGGGCAAATCCCCTCGTTCCCGTGCAAAAGTTGGAAGGCTGCCGTTTCGTCTAACAAATTACTACACGCGCCCAGCCGTTTGCTAATGCTCTAGGTCCAAAGCTTTTTAACATTCTCATTCCTGTAGTGTTTTCTTTATCTCGGCCACCTTCTCTCTCTCTCTCTCTCTCTCTCTCTCTCTCTCTCTCTCTCTCTCTCGGTTTCTTGGAACTGCTGCCGCCGTTCCCGGCGACTCCAGGACAGCAACTCCCCTCCCCCTGGAATGTCTCAATGTCAGGCTCGCTCCCTCCGGCAGCCAGGGCTTTCGTTACGTAATGCGCGGTGGTCGCTGTGCGCGGTTCCCCACTCCGACCTCTTCCAATCTACACACACACCAGAAACTTCTGAAATGGTCAGATTCCGGCCGGCCGGGGAGCCAAGTGGGACCTGGCGCTCTGACCTTTAGGCTTGGGGACAGAGGAGGTTTAAGGAAACTTTTTGGAAACGCTTTCTGCTACTAGGAAAGAGAGTAACCAGACAGAAGGTGTTGCCAGAGTCTCTTTCGGGGAGTAGCACACGCGATTCTGGCGTCACCTTTCACTACTTAGGTACACGGTGGAAAAATTTGCTACTGAATAATCCGGTAGGACCCGAGGCGTTCAGAGTCTGTGTCTGCTCCAAGTCAGCGTGAACACCTCACTGGCGAACCCCCGACGAAATTGGGAGACTTCGGTGAAGCCAGGCTTCCACGGGGCAGCGGGGAAGCTCCCGGTGGATGAAATCGCACTAAATCATGAATAGGGGCCTCGTTAGCATACAGAAATCTGGCTAACATCCCAAAGTTGTTTAATCAGGTCAAATAGCTAAAATAGCGGAGGAGGGGTTGAAAAGGGGAGAGAAGATGCCAAATTGCCACCAGTTCTTCAGAGCTTTGCACTCTCACTTCCTTTCTCAGGGCTCCTCTCAAGGCAATGAATTAAATTTAACAATAATAATAATAACAATAATGTTCCAGAACTTTCAGAGCGCAATTCCATACACTATTAGAGTTACAGAAAAACAGAATAAGACTGAATGGGTATGTTTGTTTATAAGACTTGAAATCTTTAGCTCCTTCTTTCTGCCTAGTTCATAGGCAAGTCCTATAGATTTCTTTGTAACTCCTTTGTCATTTGAAACACCTTATCCATTTTTCTAAAATTAAAGTTTGACAAATTCTTTTCTTACTAATTTGTCAAAGGAGTGGTTCAGAAGCTAGTTCTTGGCCTAGGATGGGGTTTGGGAACATTAAAAAGCAAGCAAAGTTCAGACCTAAGAACTCTGAGGAGTTTGAAGTATCAGCCAGAACTCCCACCAACCTCTTTGAGATATCAAAACCACAGCAGATTGGAAGACAACTGCAGACTTTTCATACATGCAGCTTGATAAAGGAAGCAGGAAATGTGGAGCCCGCCCTGAATGAGGCTTTCAATTTAATAGGAGAGGGAAAACAAATTTATATTACAAATTGGAAAAAATATATAGACTCTCAGAATGTATAATCATGTATGTGTTAAGGCCCAGATGCAGAAACCAGCATAATTCCTAACTACCTGGCACACTTAAAAATGGCAAATCAGATCTGCCTTCACTATGAAAAATTTTAATCCAGAACTTAAACACTTTGGTTGCATTTTATAATGGTTGAACTGGGGGGAAAAAAATTAAAGACAGAATTTTTCTTTTAAGTACGGTACACTTGCTTTTTATAATCTAACGGAATACCATTTTAAGTCTATCAGAGGTGTGACTTTTGAATAAACAGAATGGTTGTGAACCCACCTTTTATAATTCCAAGACATAAAAGAGCTATTATTTTAGCTTTGGTTTTTATATCATAGATCAAGGGGTTTTTTTCAACAGTAAGGCAAATTCTGTCAGTTTGCAAACGCCCTGATCCCTCTGCAGTGAAGCCAGATTTTCCAAATAGGTCATTAAACGTTATTGATCCAACCCCACAAAAAGGCACATATTTTTTTTTTGCCAGAATGCTCAAAAGCAAGGGTGCTTAGAGTGGACATGTTTAAGGGAGACTGGAATCTTGAACAGTTTGTAGAATATTAAATGTTACATTAATTTTGCAAAGAAGTAGTGTGTGTGGTTAGAAGTGTAGGCCTTGAAATCCACTTTCCTGAGTTTACCACTTATCAACCAGAGTATCTTGGGCAAATTTACTTAACAACTTGCATGTTTTAGTTTCCTCATCGGAAACATAGCAATAATGATGGAAACTTGGAGAGGTTCCATACTTCATATGGCTCTTTTTCAGGACACACATCAAGTGTCTGGCACATAGCAAGCTCTCAATACATGTTGATTATCATTTTTTATTGAGATATTTAATTCTTTCCTGATGGCATAAGGAATGTAGGAAATCTGAACAAAAAGACACAACAGAAAGTAAAATAGTCTATCAAGTTTAGTTTTTTAAACTCAATTTAAGAAAAATGAACAAAGAACAACTTTAATGAGAACAAAATAATAAACAGGACTACTTCAGTTAGGAGTCATATAACTACTTCAACCCAAAAAAAATCTCTTCTTGCTGATTGTGATATCAAGACACTTTCAAAATCCCATCTCTAAAGCTCTATAGAGATTCTATAGCTATATATAGGTAAAGATTTAAATATACTCTATCCCTCCCCATCTCTTTCAGTGTGTGTGTGTGTGTGTGTGTGTGTGTGTGTGTGTGTGTAGTTGCCCATCTCTTTCATCTTGATTTAGCTGGTTAGGTAGCTTAATTTGGAGGTCAGAGTGGGCCCAGAATAACCACTCTCTATCCCACCTGGAGAGTCTAGAACTGTGCTATCTAACATGGGAGCCAGGAGTCACATGTAGCTACTAAGCACTTGAAATGTGGCTAGTCCAAATGGAGATGGGCTGTAACTGTTAAATACACACCAGATTTCATAGACTTAGTACCAAAAAAAAAAGAGTGTAAAATAACTCGTTAGTGATTTTCATATTGATTACACATTAAAATGACAATATTTTGGACTTACTAGGTTGAATAAAAAGTTATTGAAACTCATTTCACCTGTTTCTTTATACTTTTTAAATGTGGCTACTAGGAAATTTTAAATTATTCATTGTGGCTGGCATTGTGTTTGTATTATATACGATTGCTTCAGACCATGTGTGTGAGGGGAGGATGAGGCCTTTCTCAATCATGTTAATTCATCTTGTGGATGCTTCTCAAATTCAGCCTTAATATCAGTTAGCAAAACTCCCTGACTCCGCTGAGGTATGTGTCCAAGGCCGCCATCCAAAGGAACATTTGGGGTATGACTACAGACTCAAGTACCCAAACCACTAGGGGCACCCAAATCTGCTTTCTCTTAAAAAGTTTGAGGGCTGTTTCCACGGACAAGGAGTCAAAGCTATGAGGAGATGCCCATGCAGAAGCAGGGAAGAATGGCATTTCTGTAGCAAGTTTTGGCCTTTGCAGCTGACTTTTTTCAAAGCACATCAAAATAAGAGAGAGGGGGGAAGGAGATGCAGAAATCACCAACAGCCAAAGAGTCCCTTTGAAAGAGGAAGTGTGCCACAAAAGCCATCCAAAATAAATGCACTACCTAGCAGTCTCTGGGAGGTGAAGGAGTTTTAAGTCCTCTGGGTGTTAAAAAATAAGAACAAGCTCACCCTTGATCCCTCTATTCATCCACAGATCAGTCATGACCTTGGAAGCTAATCAGCCATGGTGGTTCCCTGAGATCCAGAACCAGCCCTGTTATGTTCTAGACACCAAGCTGAAAAGGGAGCATCAAAACTATAATCTTGTTTTCTCTCCTCTTGGGGATGTGGGTAGAGAGGCTCTTACTCCTCTCGCAATATCTCAAAGCACAGAAGAAAAAAAAAAAGTCAAGTTCTGGGTATGTGAGATGCTCCTAAGGTCAGACCTCTGAAACCTCTTATTTCATGGTAAAGCCAAATAGAAACCAGTGCTTGCTGCTTTCCACTAACTCAGTTCATTCATTCACTCATCCACTGGAGGCTCTCTTTGAGGGAGGCATTGTGCTAGGCACAGGTGGTGAAACAAAAATAAACCAGACAGGGAAAAAACCCGCAAAAAGCAATTCCCATCCATCTGGAGAGAGAATAAAGATAGTAGGCCCAACCCTACAAGCAAGTGGAGTAATTACTTGATGTGACTTAAAAGGGAAAAGCAGCCTGCCCAGCCAGGCCCTCCTTTTCCTGGCACTGTGCCCATAATCCCAATGGATGCATCCTTGGGTGTTTCTTGAGTGCATTCACTCCTTTGAGTTTTCCAGGTTTCATGGTAGTGAGATTCTCACAAATTGGTTTAAAACAGGGGAGAAGTAATACATGTCCAAGTGATACATGTCCTCCACCATAGTGGAGGGAGCAAGCACCTCCAACGTTGGGGGAAGGAAAAGGCTTCATGGAGAGGATCACATTTAATTTGGACCTTGCTTGGGTAGACTTCAGAAATGAGTCAAGGAATGAAAGCCTTTCCAGACCCAAACCATAATCTAAGAACAACTCATACAGCAGATATTTGTAGGTTCCCTACTCTGTGCTTCCAGGCCTCCTT